TCTCTCTCTCTCTCTCTCTCTCTCTCTCTCTCTCTCTCTCTCTCTTTTCTTACATCATTTTACTTGGATCTCCAATTTTTCCATTGACACATTCTACCTCACATCATATGTCTCTGAAGATATATCTGACCTCCTCCTCTCATGGATTATAAGAACAAAGATGATGTTTTTCTTCTTTGTAGCCAAAGAACCTAGCACACTGCCCTGCTCATGGCAGATATTTATTTTTGTCTTTTGAATAACTTTTTGTTGATTTTTTTAACATCCTCATAGTTTCCCCCAGTTGTTTGATTGGTTGTTGTCCTTTTGTGCTTAAAGAGGACTAAAATGACATCATTATGTCAGGATCCAGGTACAGTGTGTCTGACTGAGGCTGATCAGACCAATATGAACTTGGAAGGCTTTACCAGAGGTTGGGCACCAATCGTCCATATGAACATTTGGAGTGAAGATGTCTCTAAATTTGCACATCTCACATTTCTTTTCCCGAGCATCCCTTCTCCCAGAGAGCCAACACATATAAAATATTTTTTATAACAAAAATAAAAAGAGGAAAAAATCATTACAACCAATCAATACACTGAAAAAGTCTGAAAAGGTATCAATGATGTGCAACATCAGTGGATCTCCCACCACCATGAATAGTTGGTTTAGGGTGTCCTCTCATAGCAGGGATTTATTTTCAAATGGAATTAAATTAAACTGTAAGGTGGGTGCAGAAAATAGGTTCCCAGGCTTTTGGATTCCATGTACTCCTTAGCTTAAAGCTAACCTTACTGAAGGTTTTCTGTCCTCATACCCCATATTCAAAATGAAGAAAAATAAATTCTAGAGTTTACTATGCAAATGGACCCAAATAAAATACAGATTACTTTTTCATGATGAAACATTTATTTACTACACAACAACATGTTTAGTATTATAAAATTGTTAAATGCCAAGTCTAATAAATCAGTAAGATACTTGATTCTTTTTCTTATTGAATAATTAATAATAATAACTAGTATTTACATATCACCTACTATGGGGCAGGCAGGTGCTTTACAAATATTTATCTTATTTGACTCTTACAGCAACCCCATGAGGTAGGTGGTATTATTCTCCCCATTTTACAGGAAACTGAGACAAACAGAGGTTAAGTGACTTGCCAAGGTCACATAGCTAGTAAGTGTCTGAGTCAGGGTTAGAATTCAGTTATTCTTGACTCCAGGCCCAACATTCTATTATGGCACCATCTCATTGCCTTATTAATCAATAGTTTTATTCTCCATTTAGTGTTTGAAAGAGATGCCTAAAGATCATGTTCAGTCTCTGATTTGTTTCTCCCTTGGAATCTGATTGAGGAAAGCACTGAGAATGTTGATTCACAGAGATAAGTCATTTTAAATGAAATTAAAGCCTTCTGAACAGTTTAAGTAGGAACAGAATATGTTTCTCCAAATATACTCCCCAAATTTCTTAACTCCATTGATTGCAAATCAACTCATAGTTCCTGGTTATTGCAGAGTTCAAATAGATCATCTTTCTCCAGGTCATTGTTGATTACTTTTTTCCTTAACTCAGTATGAAAAATGTCTCAAATCTCTAAATCATCGACTTGTCTTTCGGTCAGCAAGAAGTTTGCCTGCATCTTTCTTTTTCGTAATTTACAGATGTTCCATAATGATCTTTCCTCTCAATCTCCTCAACCTGAATCTTCTCTCTGGAATCCACTTTTTTTCCCATAACACCACTACTTTTTCAATATTTCAATATGACAATATAATTATTTATCAAATATTCCCACTGTTGCTTTGACAAACTTTCTGTACCACCTGGGGTCTCTCATACCCTAGATTGACAACTCCTGGTGTAGAGGATATAAATTATTAAAATAGGCAATTAAATATATTACAATAATGAGATGAGCAAATGGCCAAATTATCAGATATTGATGTCCAAATTTCTAACAGTTTAGTAGCTACATCTGAACCTCTTTGAGGGAAGTTTAAAGATGCTTTCTGGCCTTCAAGTTTAATAATGCAAGAGGATACCATGAAAAGAATCTGAGTGCTTAATTTAGTCAGTGACTTTTAAGGAAAAGGGGGAAAATAACCCTTTGTTTTGCAGGTTTTTATACCACAATAAAATATAAGAGAAATAAAATATAAAACATAAACAAAACATAAGAGAAATATCATAGTTTGTCACCAAAAATGTATCTTAGAAGTATTCAGAATTCTGGGATTCCAAGGCCATAGGTTTTATGACCATATAAGTTTTGGAAATTTCTTATTTTGGTGTTGGGTCAGTTCCATTCAATTTCTAGGTACATTTGCCTCAACACCTCTTCATCCCTCTATTCTTTCACACATCTGCCTATATATATACATGCATATATATACATGTATATATACACATGTATATATATGCATGTATATATATAGTGTGTATTATACACAAAACATAATATGTATTATATTACATGAAACAATTCTTATAAATTAAAATAAGAAATAGAAAGAACACTTTTTTTATCTTAAGATGTGGAGTATACATATCTTCATTATGTCCAGTTCTGCTGACTTTATTTTAGGAAAGACAAACTAGGGCATGTTCAGAAAAGGACATCCTAGATGGTATGAAGACCCAATAATTTTTGCCACATGAGAATAGCTTGAGGGATCAGGAGATGTTTAGTCTGGAAAAGAGAAGACTGAGGGGGACATCAGAGCAGTCTTCAAATGTCTGACTAGTTTTAATGTAGTAGATAGATCTAATTTATTTCATTGTCCTGTTTGCTACTTGGGAGCAGAACTAGTACCAATGGGAAAAGTTGCAGAGAGATATATTTTGACCTAATATAAGAAAAAAAATTCCTAACAATTAGAAATGGTCCAAAAATTGAATGAATTTTCTTGGTAAGTCATGATTTTGTATCAGAAGTCTCTAAACAGATAATGGATAAATATTCTTTGAGGAGTTTGTAGATTGAATCCATATTTTGATATGAGGAGAAAACACTAACTCTGAAATTCTAGAATTATTTTTCTCATCTGATTCTAACCAAAAACAAACAAATAAACAAAAATAATAGCAATATGTGTATCATCTATTAAACCAATTCTACAAATAAGGGATCAAGACTCAGGTGGATTAAGTGACCTGTCTAAAATCATGGAACCAGTTAGTGGCAAAGCTGGGAATATAAACGCTTCCCCTGACTCCCTATACCAGTCTCAGAGCAAAAGCCTCAGATAGCTGAAAGAAGAACAAGTACAGAAGAAAATGGCCTCAGTTGTTTGATGCTATTTGTTAAGATATATAAAAGGAAAGCCGTAACCAGAACAACTTGGAACATCCCATTGGTACCATTAAGGAGTATTTGAAAATATACTTTTTTTTTTATTTAAGGAATTGACATCCTAAACATTACCATAGCTAATAAGCTAAATGTTCTTTTTGATAGATGCTTGGGTTTTTGTTGTGGTTGTTTGTTTGTTTTCCCTTCTTGGAAATAAAAAAAAAAAGTCCAGTCCTTTGTCTACTGACACACTACCTCCCAAGAATAAAGCATGTCTCCTAAAAATGAGGCATTTTACTCAATTGTAAAGGAAGAAGAAACAACCAGAAAACTATGTCAATAGGAATTGATTAAATCTTTTCATAGCACTGCATTTTAAATCACTTGTGAAGTGGTAATAACACACACTTTTGATCGATGTTCTCCTTGAAGGCTGACTAACCTTTCAATGAAGCCCCACTTCCAAGACTGATATCTTGCTGTTACACTTTGAGGCCTCTGGTATTATCTTCCATCACAATAGAAACAGTGCAAATATTGCTCTGAGGTGTCAAAATGTTGCTGTTCCACATGAACCAGACTCCTCTCCCTCGATGGCTATTGAAATTGTTTTGAGAGAAGCTTCCTGTTAAAGCACTTAGTGTTGCCTCACTTTCTTTATGGGTCAAAAAGATTCAAAGATTCCTTTCAAACATCTTAATTTC